AGATTGTTTATCTCTTCATATCTTCTAAGAATGAAAGAGGTAAAAAAATTCCTTAGCTTTTTCATTTTCATCACCGTAATTACTCTACAGTCCAAGCAAGATTTTTTCTTTAAAGGCAACCGCAAAGATTCTGAATTTGTGAATAATTTCCAGCATTATCTGGTATTTTGGGGGCATAATACACACATATTCATAGCCCCTCATGTCTTATCCACTTACTGAGTAGGAGGCAATTGTAAAATGGGAGTTGTTGATTGTCATCGAGTTGAGCATGACTCATGGTAACCCTATGAACAAAAGGCCTGAAGCCTTTCTATAACTACCCTCATTTCTCCAAGTCCATAGAGTTTCCAGAGGCATGTGGTTTAGAAAGTGGATGTCACTCCTGCTTCCAAACCTGTCTTAAACTGGGAGCTCCATCAAACACTATCCACCCTGAGCAGCCATTATGGCATTTGACCCCTCAACGGCACAAAGATCAGCATCACAGCAAACCCAGATTACCTCAGTGCGGCAAATTGACAGAGGAGTGCTGCACCACTTAGAAGAATGTTCCTCCAAAAATAACACTAGACCCTCGGGCTCAACCAAGTTTTAAATACAAGGGAGATATGTATGTATGTATGTATGTGTATATGTACACACACACACACACACACACACACACACACACACACACAAGGCCTGAAGCCTTTCTGTAACTATCATCATTTCTCCAAGTTCATAGGGTTTCCAGAAGCATGTGAGAGTACATGAAGAAATTATTTGAGATGGGAGCTCCTACCATGCAGCACTAAAATATCTGTACGCACTCTATTTATATCAGCTTCCAGTTCTCTAAATTTCCCCTCAGCCAGGTATCTATCCCTTTATTAAAAAGTAGAGATAACATTTAAGTAAGCAGATATCCCAAGAATCTTAATTTATACTGATTTATCTTAATACATATAGTAGAAACAGAAGATATAATATTGAAGAAGTAAAAAGCAGTCAGCAGCTAGATTTTCACATGATTTAATAGATGAATATTATAACAATATGGGCCCATTTCCTTAAGTATAAAATAACAATCCTTCATTAAGCAAGCCTCTAGTTTTAAAATTTTGGTAATGTTCTAATTTCCTCCCCAATAGTTGTATATCAAAATTACCAAACTTTTATAGAAGATTTGATTTGAAAGTAGGCAATAATCATGGGTATCAAAAATAAGTGAAAGAAACTTGTTACATCCACTTAGAAAGAAGGACTGGAATTTTTATAAAGGTAGAGATGCATGGATACCAGATTAAACCCCTCCTTTTTTTAGCAGGAAGGGCTCATTTGTTATAAAACTTAACAAACAAATTAGATGACTTTGTTTCAGAGAGTAACCTATGGGTCAGAATGAATCAGACTGCTTTGAACATCTTTGTCTTTTTAAGGAGCTCAGTGTTGTTAGGTGCTTTCAAGTCAAGTACAACTCAAAAATCCTGTGAACAAGAGATCTAAATCCTATCCTATCCTGTGCCATGCTCACAATCTAGAACACATTTGAGCCCATTCCTGCAATCATTGTGTCAATACACCTGGTTGAGGGTCTTCCTCACCTTCACTGTCCCCCATCTTTCCAAGCATGTCTTTCTCCAAAGAATAACCTTTCCTAACAACATGCCCAAAGTGTGCAAGACAAATTTTCTCCATCTTTGCCTCCAAGGAGCATTCTGACTACACCTCCATGACATATCTATTTGTGTTTTTGGCAGTTCATGGTATATTCTGTACTCTTCTCCAACACCACAGCTCAAAGGTATAAATTCTTCTGTCATTCTTATTCATTGTTCCACTCTCAGAAGCACAGTAAGTAATTGAAAAGGCCATGGCCTGAAACAAACACACTTTAATTCTCAAACTGACATCATTGCTCCTGTATAATATGCAGAAGTCCTTGAGTGCAGACTTTTCAAGTGTGATACGTCTTCTGATCTTTTGAGTGCTGGTACCAAGTGTATTGTTTGTGGACCAAGTAAGATGAAGTCGTTGACAGTTTGAATCATTTCTCTGTCCATCATGATGTTGCCTATCAGTCAAGTGGTGAGAATTTTTAAATTTTTTTATGTTGAGATGCAACCCATATTGAAAGCTGCAGTGTCTAACCTTCTACAGAAAGCACTTCTTTTCCTCACTCTCAGCAGGTAAGGATGTGTCATCTGCATAAGAAAGGTTATTGTTGTTGTTGTTGTTATGTGCCATCGAGTCGCTTGCGACTCATAGCGACCCTGTGTACAACATCCCTAAACTGTGCTCTGTCCTGTGCCAATAGCACCATCTCTGACACACCCATCCCGATTATCCCAGTTACTGCATCAATCCACCTCATAGGGGGCCTTCCACTTCTATCCTTCTTAGTCATTGTCCAACTCTCTGATGCATAACAAGTGATAGCAAAGACCATGGCCTGTATCAGACACACCTTAGTCTCCAAAGAGACACCATTGCTCTTCAGTACTTTGGAGAGTCTGAAGCTGATGTATTTGGAATCACAGAAGCCAAGGAAGCTTCAGATATAAGCTGTCAGAAGGTTATTGATGAGTCATCCTCTAATCCTTATGACAAATTCCTAGAATCCAGCTTCTTGAATAATATGCTCAGCATACAGCATACAGATTGAATAGGTATAATGAATGGATACAACTCTGACAAATACTTTTCTTAATTTCAAACCATTTAGTGTTCCCTTGCTCTGTTCATACAATAGCTTCTTGGTCTAGGTCTAGGTTTCACACCAGCATAATTATGTGTTCTGGGATTCCCATTCCATAAAGAATAGCCTTATGACATCTTTTCAGGAATGTAGTAAGGAGCAAAATATTTGTAAATTTGAAAAATTAAGTATCTTATTACCCATTATGTTGTTGATGTGCATGTTAGAGTCAGAAATGACCTATAGCTGACCATCCACTGAATTTTTTTAATGCCTGTAATTAACCAAGTCATTTTTTGATTTTGATGTCTTTGGGTTGTGATGTTGAAGAAGAGTACTTAATATCCCACGGAATACTAAAAGAACAAATAGATATATCTGTTTAAGAAAGAGATCTGTTCTTCCCCCTCCCCTCACCGCCCCTGCTCCCTCACCCGTTTTCTCTGTTCCACTCTATTTTGGAAAGATGTCGGATATGGCAGTAGCTGTCACTCGGAACCTTAACTCGAAGCCTCAGGACCTGACCGATGCTTATGGGCCACCAAGTAACTTCCTGGAGATCGACATCTTTAATCCACAGACTGTGGGCGTGGGCCGCGTGCGCTTCACCACCTATAAGGTTCAGATGAGGACAAAGCTATCTTTAAATTGAAGGAATCCTGTGTACGGCGGCGCTACAGTGATTTTGAATGGCTGAAAAATGAACTGGAGCGAGATAGTAAGATTGTAGTTCCACCACTACCAGGGAAAGCATTGAAGCGGCAACTTCCTTTCCGAGGAGACGAAGGGATCTTTGGGGAGTCCTTCATTAAAGAAAGGAGGCAGGACCTTGAACAGTTTATAAATAATATTGCTGGGCACCCACTAGCTCAGAACGAATGCTGCCTACACATGTTCCTGCAGGAGGAGGCCATTGACAGGAGTTATGTCCCTGGAAAGCAGTGAATAAGAGTTCCAGTCTTTCCACACCCTGCCAGCATTTGTTGCTGGAGTTACCAGAGAAGACCTTCAGATGGCAAGCAAGCACATGAAGAAATGCTCAAAATCCCTAGCTATCAGAGAGATGCAAATCAAAATAAGTATCTTCTTTTTCTAAAACTTTTATTGATTTGTTATTGCTGTGTAATATAGAGTCAGAGC